TCTGGTGTCAACCGATGTCGCTGATTTCAACGGTAACGAAAAGTGACAGCTGATAAATGTACTGGAATCCTGGATTGCTCCATAACTTTTCAGTTTGTACTATTAGTTCACGCATTCAAATCGGAACTGCATTGGTTATCATTTGATACGTATGTGATAACACTGTCATTGAATATAATTTCGGTTACGTGGATTTTTCATGGCTAAGCGTAGAAAAACAGGTAAGATATCGGTCGATCTGTTGATATTTATATAATCAAATTATTTTACGGAGAAAATTGTAATTGAATCTAATTTATATTATGATACATTGTGCCAATTTCTTTTTCAAAATAATGTTTCAGTACCCACCGGGATCAACTGTGTGCGACAGTGACATTACTGTACCTGAAAATCGTGTTGAACACGACTGTTTAAGTTCATGTATGAGGCGCGAGGTCATCGTTGACGCTCAGTAGCGAGGTGGACTGTTTGACGACTGATATTCAGTTGAAGCAAAACTAGGTAGGGTACCAATTGTGCTGTAGTTGAGTTAACCAAAAATTCGTGAATTTGTTGGCTCTTTGCTACATTGCGAGTTTTTCTCAGTCTTCGGCATTGCATACACTGGCAGTTATTGCTCCGTCTTCTGACTTTCTACGATTGCTTTAAAGTCGGTGCACTGACTTTGCTGCGAAGCGTAATGTTATGTTGGTTAGGAAATTTTGCCGAGTATTTAATGATTAAAGTGGCATTACTGACTCGTTGGATTCTAGCAACAAAGTGCTTTGTAGCTGCATTTGTAAAACTACTGTGCTGTATGTTTTCTTGATACTTTATTCGTTTTTTGGTATATCAGTTTCGTTAACGTTACTTTCTCTGTTTAGAATAAAGTTAATCTTTACCGATTTCCCTGACCCTGATTTTTGATTGGATTGCAGTTTGTGACCGTGTCATTTTTTGAAACTTGTCGAGAGCCTGTGTGCGTGAAATTTCTTCTGTTCTACCAGGGCTCGTCATAAAATGTTGAGGTTTTGATTCTGGTGTGCAAAACTGTTGTAATTAAGACTGAGTAGTCAGTTGACTCATTTCCTGAGGTACCTCAATTTTTTGGATTAGCAGCAACTTTTAATCTTATTTGCTCGATATCTACTTGATCATGGCGAAGATATTTTGTGTGAAATAGTTTACTTATTTAATTACTAACTTCATTACATCTTTTTTTCGGAAGCCAGATGCTACCCTGTTTAATTTATCTGTCCATGTCGTCTGTAATTCCGACGTGTGATTTTTTTCTTGTTCGACTAGTAAGCAGGTCATACTTCATTCGCGATTCTTTTTAACATTTTTTAAATTTTCTTTAGATTTTCCAAATTAAGATGCTCTGCAGGTCAGGTGTTATGAATGTGGCTTTGTGTCCGAAAGCGAATTAATAAGGGAGTGTGTTATGTGACGCTTAAACCCATTTGCATTGAAAAAGAGAGAAAAGATTTATAATTTAGATGCGTATTGAAAAAATGACTTTGCGAAAATATGTTTCAGGCAAGTTTTTCTTTTGTTTTGTCCTGCAGAAAAATCATGATGATATGATTCACAGATTTAAATGGTTCCATTTAAGCAATATTCATTTACTCAGTCATCTGTTCATTTACACATTCATTAATTCACTGATTGATTCATTCGTACCGATGATAACGACGTATCCTGTATTTTGTTATTTCGTATGATCAGTTTTGTTTTATACATCTGAGGCATGACAGTCAGAAGTCAAACCTGGTTTTTTCGTAAATGGATTAGCTGTTGATTTGTTACTTCTGTGTTGTGTCTAAACAGTTTGTTAAAGGTAATAAGCACCATGATGAAAAAAATTTTTTATCGCCAGAAATATGCAAAGCCGTTGATGAGCGGTTCTGTCCGACTTATGCCATATTTACCCTTCTCCATTAAAAATTTTAGGTTCATGGAATGATCTTTCGTCTTTTAGTAAATCCTTCAATCCATTGTAATAGTATATTGAATTTCACTCTAGAAACTTACGCAATCCGGCAATAAATTATGTCCTTGCTGTGGATAGTTTTTCAAGCCTGTCTATGCATTTGGTTAAGCTTATTTTCGTAAACACTTAATATGGATCAGAGGAGTGCGATCAAGTACAAGGGTTGGAAATGAGGTTCTTTCAAAGATTGCTGTTTGACGAGGTTCAAGTATGGCTATGTAGTATCTTTTCCAGTCAAATGCTTCATGTCTCTAATCTCTGTCTTGAAGTGAAATTTTTGATGGTTTTGGCATTTTGTTTAGGATGCCATCTGAGAGAGGTGACTTGTTAAGCTTCAACACTTTGCACTTACACTTGCGACTTTACACAGAAAGCTTTATTAATTCATGGGTCACGTTATTCAACAGACCTTTACAGCAGCTGCCCGAGCAAATCAAAAGAAATCCTTGCTATTAAGACGGACATGCAGATATACCGGATTGCTCGACGGTAGGGATGTTGTCAGAGCTCCAGTTGCTGAATTTGGCCTTCTCGCTGACAATGATGATTGATGAAGACGAAGCTGCAAGCACGATTTAGCGCTGATCACCTCAAGTTACCAATGTAGCCAGGAGACATTGCGGTTCGCTGCCATGTCGTCTGAATTTAAGAGGAATCAGAAGAGGCCGTTGCGAAACTTACGAGCCAGACTGTCGACCGACCTGTAGCTTAGATTTGTATCACTGATATTTATATTCTCAGTGGATAAACGCATTACTTCTTGAATCCTGAATCTTGTAACTTATTATGCTTTTCACGTGCTATTTAAGTAGGTCATTGCTTTGTGGTATTTTAGCATCTGCGCTGCGCAAAGGCACCTGGCACCATTTTGTTTATTAAAGCAGTACGTGATCGTCACCAATAAAATTTTGAAAGCCTTTAATTCTTTATATCGTTTAATAAAAACAAAATAAATACGGCTTTCTACTGTATAAAATGTAAATTTGCGCGCATATCTTTCTCAATATCTTCCCTAATCTTCTAAAAGCAAGGTGTGATTTAGAATATGAAGGCTTCTTTTTGTTTAATAGGTTTGTTATACATTTATTTGCTTGCTACGTGTACTGCGAGGTAATATTTTGCTGAGAATAGAAAAAAGAAACTCATATAAACAGCAGACGGATTCAAATGAGGCGTTCATTTTTCCTAACGACCTGAACATCTGTTTCTGTAGGCCATTTGGCGGCGAAATCTGCTTTACAATTGCATTATGGATAATTTATTATTGTGTTAATTTTGCCTGCGTATTTCCGTGTCGACATTTACTTCATCTAATGTTTTACGTTTGATGATATTCATTGTTTAGCTGTTTAGGCATGAACACGTGCGGAAAGGATATCATAGAAAATTTTGAAAAGAATTTTCAGGCATGCATATCTGCTTTTGCATCCGGCTCCGGAACTCGGCCGACGGATGTCGAGGAAGTGAGGACAAGTAAGAACATAGAAACGATTTTGTTGCATGCCGAAATATTGGGTGTTTATTATGGCCAATAAAAAATAAATTATGAACTGTGACTGATTTTGAGCATTTAATTCGAGATGTTTTCACCCCTTTCACCGGTTATTGTTTACGTCTTGCGTTTTGCATTTCAGGCGCCGAAGTTGCTGCACATGATCTGATACGGACGGTTCAAGAGTCGGAGAAATACTTTAGTCGTTACTACTTCTTGTTTTCGATATTTTGTCCTGAAGAAGTATTGAAAGAGGTTCGATGTTTTTAAAATTTAATTTTTTATTAAATTTAAATAGCCAGGTTGTTGACTGATTCATGGTTCAGGGCATAATGCGCTACAGATGAAGAAAGTATTATTGCCAGCGTGTTTCGCTGCGTACACCATTGCATCGCCATGTCTAGGAGTCATAATCGACATAAGGTTTATACAAGACTGGCAGAGCATTGGGTAATATTTTATTAAAGAAATGCGTGCTCACTAACCTGAAGAAGCGTTATTTGTCGTATACAGGATCCAGTTTGGAAACTACTGTGAGGCCTGTTGAAAAGACCCATACCGGAAGCTGAATATCCGGATCAAAAGACACATATCTGCGGTTCACCTTCGACAAGCTGACAGTTCTGGTATTGCCCAACATGCCGTTTCCGAAGGGTACTTTTTCAATCAGACCAATATGCGTGTTATACAAAGACGTATCTAATTAGGTGTACTGATAAAGTAGTTCATGACTGGCAATGAAATACCGGTTATGCAACAAAAATAAATCATCTGTAGCTTTTAGTGAAACCGGGGGCGCAATCAGGAATTTGATGTTCAAAATCGAGTCAACCTAATAAATATGCGATAGAATTTTTATGCGAACTTTACTATGTTTGTTGGTCAACATTCTGTTAAAGTAGTTTTACTTTGTTTAGTATATAGAAATTAAGAAACATTGGTTTTTTTTCGCTTGTCGGATATGATTGTCTTCAAGCAGTCATTTGTGGCCAGCCCAACTTTGGTGATATTATGGTGTATATATCGAAACGTTGGCAATAATGATTTTAGCATTTGCTACGTTTGATGTTTTGAACCATTAATCTTTAAGTCTTCTTTCTCTCTAACTACGTGTCCAGAATGAAAAACCGCAAGCATTATTGAGAATATATTTACGACTGCACTTTGTGCAGAAAGCAGTCGGCTACCAGGTGGGTCAAGGCGAATTGCAGCCTTGAGGCGCACTCATCAGATAACATGGCCGTGTACCTCATACGCTTTGGTACGATCAAACAGACGCATCATGCCGCAGCTGCTGATCACACTGCACTGATTTTCGACCCGAGACCCGTTTTTCTTCTGGTTGCACCAAAGAACATTCGGGAATTAGCAGTTAGAGAAAAGTTCCTCCATACGTTGCGTTTCAACCTGGAAGGTCTAAAGCAGTGTACTAACCAACTCTACTTTAAATTGTACCTCTCACTGCCAAGTCACATTTGCAGCGTAATTTTCTAATTGATTCTAATCATTTTGCTGTCAAGATTTATTTAATTTCTCAATGTATGACGATTTCCAGATTTAATATTCTACTATGATGTAAATATCAGACTTGAATATGTCTTCTTTTTCTCTGTGTAGCCGCGAATGCTTTGCTATTGCAATAACTTTTAGGAAATTGGCTTAATGAAAGAAGAGATCGATCGCAAAACTTCTATCATAAATAAGCACAAAGAAAAAATTGCATATTGGCAGCAGCTTATGGAACCCACCGATGGTCCGTCATCGGTTACGGCTGCTAGCTCTGCACCTGAGCTACCCGCGGATAAAATTGGATGATAACGAGAATGGCGAATTCATTCGGATCCGTCCTTCCAAACCTTTGCGCTCATGTTCAAGTTTATTCTTTGCTGACCAGCAAAGAAGAAAAATAATCAGCAGGTTATCAACGAACTTGACATGAAGTTGTCGTATTGACTTAAAATCTGCTGTGGTGCTACAATGATAATATTACGCCATTGGTTTGTTCATACCTTAATATATATGCTGATGTACAATCTGACGAAATATCATCGCTGTTGCCTTCCAGTTCAATCCAGAAATTTGGTTTTAGTAAGACTAGTAATCCAAAAAGGGGCAGACACACCAACTTTGGCCCTAGTTGGTTTAAGTAATGAGAGGCATGATTGTGCATTTCGTTTCGAATTATATAACACGCGCATTTATCAATCCGTTTTAATTAAATTATACATTTATTTCAATAAATTATGTGGAGTAGTAAGTATTCGTATTTGGTAAATTTCTCGTTTAGTTATATAGATAGTTTGTTCAGCTCCAGGCAGAACGTGACCACTGTTAAGTGAAAAAAAAATTCCTCAACGATCTTATATATCTAGGCTGCGAACTACCTTGAGTAGGGATATATAAGCTGGAGTAGTTGTCCTACTGTTCTTTGGATGAAGAGCTCTGCTTTGGTTCGGGACAAGATTCCCTTCTCACTCCTGTTTATTTTTAGCCATAATCTTTCCTAGACACTGTAAATACAACTTCTACATCTTGAAACGATTAAGATTAGTTGTCAGGTATGCCAGTTTTGTTCATAATGACGTAATTCGCTAATCAGAAGGCGCATTTTCTGACTCTGGGTTTTCAGATAATTACTGGTGGCCGAAGGCGGCTGCACCCAACGCGGATGACGGTGAAAACTGGATGCAACTAAAAGGAATATACATCCCATTTAATGATGTGACTTTTTACTACAGTGCGTTCAGCAGTGGCGCCCCTTCTTTTCTGCTCTGTTCACTGACCTGGTTACTCGCTTTCCTAACAGTTTATTTTCTAAGTTTACGTATGCTTTGCCTAACGAATAATTTCCGGTATAATATCGGGACACCTTGTATTGGCATTTTGCTTTTCGTATATAGGGAACGCCACGCTTGTTTTGGGATCTGCAGACTGTACCTGGTTATAAAACAGATACTTTCACTAAAATTCTTTTGATACGGGATGACAAAGAAGGGGCGGCTTCGGCAATTCTTTGCTTACTGTCCCGGATCCTGTCCGGCTTCCAGTTTGCTTTCTTCAGATGTTCATGGATTAAAGTCCTCGGATATCGACTTTTCTCCATAGCGACAAGCATTATGTTGTCCTGCTGCAGTAGAGACGTACCCCGCACAACTTTATGTTCTTAGGGTATAACGTCGCAATTAGTCCTGCATTTATGGATGTTTGGGTACTGGAATATAAGCTGATATAGCTTCCGGTATACCTGAGTTTCCTACACACATCGTAGGTTACTATTCCATTTCACCTGCACATAAGTACATCTAAGAATCGAAGATTTTCTCATACCCTAGTTCATCGGTGAACTTAGTGTTTTCATGGGAGTCAGATGTTTACCAAATACATTTTGTTGCCCTTCCACATAGTACCACAGAACTCAAGTATCATCCATCATACTCTTAGTTCCGCTGATTCTAGTGGCATTTCTTCGAACTACCTTAATGCTGATCTCCGCCTCCAAGGGACATATTCGCGATCCCATGCACTGCAATATTACCGAATCCCATAGAATCGCGTTCAGGCTAGGCACAATCACGTGACTCCAGTAAAATCTACCGAGCCAGGTAGGACGGCCCCATGCTTCAGATTAAGCTTACCCACCTCCTACACTTTCGTGAATAAGGACTTTTTGGAACCGTTCTTTTCACATACGTATCCTTCTGTGCTGACTTAAATCTCCCCGACACTACCAGCAATCAGTCACTGCTCGTTTAAGGCTATATTCTCAGTTGCATGACCGGTACAGTTTGATGTTCTTTCAAATTTCCTTTTCAGCAGTCGATACTAGTTCATCCACATCAGATTGAAGAAACGCTAATTAAACTGTACCAACTATTTCCTAGTTTCCATCCATTTCCGGATACGGATTTAACTAGCATAAGCCCAAATAGAAAACCCAGTACTTTCCAACGGCAATTATAACATTACTCCCTACCTACTGAACTGAATCTACCTACAAAATTAATGTACTACAAAAAAGCTATTTCTCACGGTACTAAAAACGAGTCCACTAGCGAAGATAAAAATGAGTTTACAGCTGATACCAGAAAATTGCAATAATTCCATCTTTCGACGGTTAAAATCTAGCTGCAGTTCATCAAAGCAGCCTACTGCTATGAATTAATTTATTAAATTGCTTACTGCTATACGGCCAAAAATATACGAGGTAAAACACCAAAGGAAAACCGATTTTCATTACACACGATATACCCACTCAGCAATAACAGATTTCACTGAAAAATACATGGAAAAAACATTTTTTTCATAGTTAATTCAGTGAATATATTTTCACAATTTAAATCTATAACAGAATTATCCCACTGCTTTAGGTTCAATAGTTTAAAGAACTAATTTCTTGTCATATCCATCAGTTCATGTAGAAAGTGCTTCATTAGCTAAGAAATTTACCCGCTGCGTAACGGATCAACAGAAACAGTTTTTACACGAGTAGCGGTTATTCAGTTTATTATAAAAAAACAACATATTTTCAGCAACTGTCAATATTTTTATGTCCTCAACAAAAATGAAATAAATTCACATATAATGAATAATGTATATTTATTAATGTTATTTCACTTCTTCTCTTTCTAAATTTCAGGAGTACACACCAAACAACGTTCCATGTTCAGCGGTAAACATTTTTTTATGACAGACCACGTTCATAACAAACAATAAAATTCATTTACATTAATTACAAGTACAACTGCCAATTTAAGTATCAAATGTGAAAGATTTCACCACGAATGCGCAGTGCAAGTTTAATGTCCTTCGGCATAATGGTAACGCGCTTAGCGTGAATTGCGCACAGATTAGTATCTTCAAACAAGCCGACAAGGTACATTTCCGCGGCTTGCTAAAAAAAGGATGTTCATGCACGAAAATAAAAAAAACTAATACGGCATTTGCTAACACTCAAAATAGGTATTTCTACCATGTACAAGGTAAGTATACTGCATTTTTGTGGCCAATTCTATTATACAATACAAAAAACTCCGGATAACAAACAATGAACTCCGGAGAAACGAGGTATTGAACTCAAGTAGATCTTTATTGATTATATAAGGTTATTTATAAACTATAGAATATCTTCAAAAAATTACGTTATAAGGAAGCGTCATTTGTAGCTGTTAGTCTCGACACTAAATTTGACCTAAGAAACACCAGCTCCACGTAAGTTCAGCCACCTTGCCAGGAAATTCAACGCTGCCAAAACTTCTGACACACATCCATTTAATTATCAAGTCTGGTGGACATACGAAATCGTTTATATTTGGAAGAAATCTACATAGTAACAAAAAATAACTTTCCTTGAAATGTAGAATTACGTTTTTGATAATTCCACTGAGTTAGTATGTTTTGGTAGATCTTGGTAAATTTTCCTTCCATACGGGTAAATCAAATCGAAGTGAACAGGCAGTCGCACTATCACATAAAACTGATTTTCTTTTACCTTGCTTCACAGAAACAGTCAGTGCTGAGCACTGACATTGTAATAACTACCGATCTAATTCCTCCGTGTTTCTAGTTACTGGTCCTTTACATTGGTAGAAGATCGATTTGGCTTGGTTTACTCTAAACGTGGTCCCAAATACTAATGATGATTCTATCGATGTTGGAAAACGAAGCAAGTGAACTATTGGCAAAAAACTTTTCACCTTTATTTTTGCATTTCGTTATTTCTAACTCTGGATTAAGAGAATAGTTTACTGAAAGCAAAAACTACAAAACAAATTAATGAAGAAGTTTAAATAGCATAAGTGGCTTGTCTCACCTGGAGAGCCTCAAATGCACCGACTTTCATGCGCATGTCAGGCTTAAACTTAAGAGCTATTTCCCTGACCAGGCGGGTGAACGGCAGACGCGGTATCAAATTCTCTACAGTCCTTTGGTACCTTCGAATTTCCTTCAATGCAACAACTCCTAAAAAACTTCAGATTAATTTAAACAACCATCTTCACGTGGTAAATAAAAAAACTACATAAAAAATGTCTACCTGGTCGATGACGGCGCTTCTTTACTTCGCCTGATTTACTATCAATTATCTTCTTTTTACTCGCCGACTTGCTACCTATACTATGCTTTGCCTTCAAGCGTTTGCTCAACCGTTTCTTCTCCTCATCGAACGAAGCTTTAGAAGTACTTTTGCGCGCCGTTTGTTGTTTAGTCCTTGCCATTGTGAAAACTTACCTAAACAAAAACAGGATCTAAACACTTAATATGGAAATCAGCCTGACTGTCGAGAATTTAACAACGATATTTATTAAATCGGTCCATTATTCAAATAAACCTGTGAGGAAAGAAAGTTCCAATTCTTCAACCCTAAATTTTCAGATCAACTTCTTTTGTTTGACAAAAGATTCTTGCAGCTACTGGATTTGACAGACTGACCACTTTTTAAAACAGGTCAGTGAAAATGCTTAAAATGTTAACACGTAAACTAATCTATCATGCCTGCTGACATCGTTGTATCCTACTTGGACAAGGCAAC